ATTTGATTGATAATATCCAAAATAACAATATCTGGTAGGAGGGTTAAACTTGCTAGCCATAGGATAGACTACAAAATTAATTAACCATTTTGTATGCAGGAAAGACAGCATCAAACCACAACAGATTTACATTTATTCATTTAGCAGACACTTTTTATCCAACGACTTACAATTGAGAACAATAGAAATGACAAAGGAAATCACCATTAAAGCACTGTTACTTATCTTACAAAAAAATAATTCCCGGCTGGGGGGGGGGGGGGGGGGATTGGGATTGGGTGCGGGGGATGTCCCCACCAAAGCTGAGACCAAACCTACGCCCATGTAATAAATATAATTCAGTGTTTATTTCAATGTGCAGCAGCTGTATCCACATGGTACAATACTCTTTTAAACGATAAAATAGTGACCAATTTTATCGTAAAAAAATCTCAAAAAGTCTTGGAAAACAAACAGCTGAGGACTCTGCTAAATAAATATTGCCATTTGGATTAAAAACAGTCCTGGTGCCCGTTCTTCGTACGTTGCTTAAAACATCCGAGATCAAACGAGACATCCAAGATAATATCATCGTGCTCATCATGATCCGGCTAATTAGGTTCTTCGAACACTCCTGCCGGTTATGATTAGTATAGCTGGATTGGGTTATCTGAGATAATTGCGCGTTCATGCGCTGGGTTAAAAGGGGATATGTATCGATAGTAGAAACATTGATCAGCAACGCTGCTATTGGCTGCTCACCGTGGCCAAAGAGCGCGCTCAGTTTTTTTCTCCACAGAAGAGCAAGAGTTATTGCTTGAAGGATATGCAGAATTTGAAAACTTAATTAAAACGCCAGGGAACACCTCAAAGTGTGCAAAAGCCAAGAGAGAGGGTTGGCAAAACGTAGCAGACAAATTAAGTTTGTAGTTAGATGTTTTCATCACTTATTACAGTATATATTTTTATATTTTAATAATTTCTAAATAATTAATAACTTTGTTCATTGTAATGTTAGAGTCACCACCCACTAGAACATGGGAACAAGTAAAAGTGAAGTACTAGAATATTCTACATAATAGTAATTTACTAATCTCTTTTAAAAAGGCACTGTTAATAAATGTTTGCCTGTTTATAAAAGCAACCAAGAAAAAGGCTGAGAAAAAAAAAGAAAAGAAAAACAAACAGGTGGTGGTCCTGCACCCCCACATTATACCCAGGCAGAAGAGCTGACCCTTGGGTTGAGTGTGAACCTTGTGGAGGGCATCCCTGGGTTCAGCTCTTCCTCAGACCCACAGCCAGAGGCCAGGAGCAGAACACCTTCACTGCTGGTAAATGAACTTTAAATGATCCTACACTGTAAAATAATTTGTTGCTGCATTAAATTAAGTAGGCCTATAATCCAAATGGCTGTCCAGTCATATCAGCTGTTAAACCTTGAGTAGCAATGAATTGCTTTGACTTGTGAAAGTCTACATGAGTGTCTGTGAAACTACATAGTTAAAGGAGTAGTTTACTTTAAAAAAAACTTTTGCTGATAATTTACTCACCCCCATGTCATCCAAGATGTCCATGTCTTTCTTTCTTCAGTCGAAAAGAAATTAAGGTTTTTGATGAAAACATTCCAGGATTTTTCTCCATATAATGGACTTCCATGTGAACCAGACGGTTCAAGGTCCAAAAGACAGTTTCAGTGCAGCTTCAAAGGGCTTTAAACGATACCAGACGATGAATAAGGGTCTTATCTAGCGAAACGATTGGCCATTTCAAAAATAAATAGAAAAGTTAAAGTTTAAAAAGCACAAATGATACACGTTCGTGACTCTCCTGTTCGAACTCGTTCATCAAAATGAACGAATCTTTTTTCGAGTCATTTCGTTCATTTCGTTAGTTGAATGAACGAAATGACTCGAAAAAAGATTTGTTCATTTTGATGAACGAGTTCGAACAGGAGTCACGAACGTGTATCCTCACAACTGTGTTCCTTTCTTGAAAGAAATTATATCTGCAAGGATTTTCAGTCCGGTTTTAGACCGTACCATAGCACTGAGACTGCTCTCGTTAGAGTCACAAATGATTTGCTCTTATCATCCGATCATGGTTGTATCTCTCTATTAGTGTTACTTGATCTTAGTGCTGCATTTGACACAATTGACCACAACATTCTTTTAAATAGACTAGAAAACCATGTTGGCATTAGTGGAATTGCATTAGCATGGTTTAAATCATACTTATCTGACCGTTATCAGTTTGTAGCAGTAAATGAAGAGATGTCTTATCGATCACAAGTTCAGTATGGCGTACCACAAGGCTCAGTACTAGGACCGCTGCTATTCACTCTGTACATGCTAGGGAGATATCATTAGGAAACATGGAATTAGCTTTCACTGTTATGCTAATGATACTCAGCTGTATATTTCTTCAAAACCTAACGAAACTTACCAATTCACAAAATTAACGGAATGCATAGCTGATATAAAAAATTGGATGACTAGTAATTTCCTACTACTAAATTCTGAAAAAACAGATGTTCTAATTATTGGACAAAAAACTTCCACACGTAATAACCTAGAATATACCAATCTTTCATTTGAAAGTCACGTGTCTAGTATCTGTAAAACTGCATTTTTCCATCTTAAAAATATATCTAATATAGAGCGTTTATACGCCCGTATAAATATAACTAATTATTATTCATAACGGATTATGATCAATAACTAATTTTTTATTATTTTCAGAATTTACTGTAGCAGAATCAATAGTATGATCATTTTATCAGTTCATCCAGTGAACGGAAAGCATAAACAATTATTAATTCTAGGAAATATAATATCTTCCTGGCCAAGAAAGACTAATTCCCAGCTAAATTAAGAAATAATTCCTGGTTTGATTAGTCGAGACTGTTTTCCAAAGATGGCTCCTGTCTGTATACACGAAGTGGACTGTCTTCATAAAATATCTTCTTATTAAACGGTCTGTACACTTACAAAGTTCTCAATGCTTCTTTTTGCATGTAGGGACCCTCATTATGTTACTGTGTTAGTGTGGGGCTATTTTGAGTCTTGTTAGTGGTATAAACTAGCAAATTAATTTTTACTTAATAGATGCCCCCATTACTAGCGTTATACGCTAAACAGTTTTTATAGAAAAAACTCTTTACATTCGATTATCATGAAAACAAATCTCAGAGAACGGTTGACTAGGTACCAATGTTTTATTAGACCAAAGGTTCATTTTGCGCCGGAGTTCCCCTTTAAGCTGAGACTCCTACGTAAAAGTTTTTAAGCTAAATTAAGAGTTTTCTGAGAGGATTCTTTATGTATACGGGCCCAGACTGACTTTATTAATGTCACACATCTACAGAAGATCTTATTGAGAATTAACAGAGGTTTAGATGTTGAATAGATGTTAATTAACCAATCAGTAATAACATTGACCAGCTCTACCAAACGTGGATATTTTTCCACTAAGAAACTAACATTGTTATTATGTTTTGATTGATACTGTGAGAAGCTGCTTTGATCCAATCTATATTGTGAAACGCGCTATATAAATATACTTGACTTGATGTCTTATTGAAAATGTTTCGTTTGAGGTCACCATGATGGAGATCAGTGTTTGCTTTAGTTGGGCTCTTGACTCTCTTGACTATCATTACGTTGGTTCTTGATCAGTGATTGCAGGTGTTTATGGAGAACATTTCTGCATTGATAAAGCAGATCAATATGGCTGTTTTAATAACAGACAAATGACTGCTTTTTCTGTAAGTGATTACTTAAAGAATAGAAACACTATTGAAGAAGAAGAAACTCAAGAAATGAAAAACATTATTGTGTTTCAGATGCTGAATGTTTATATATAAAATACTGAATTTGTTAAGGCTTTGTTTAAAACTTGTTTTGTGTCATTTATACACTCACAGACATCAACATTCGGTATATGAAACACAACAATGGTGACATGCTTCATGCCAGCATACAAAACACATTCATGGCTCCCAGCATGCATTGCGGCATGAATTAATTATGCAGCTGAATTATTGTTTGATTGTCACCATTGTTGAGGTTTGTATGATGAGTGCTGATGCCTAAGTGTATCGTTTTTAACTATAAATAGTTTTGGGCAATCTTACACAAATGTGTTCAGTTACAAATGATTTTTTATCACATCAATGGAGTTTATCACCTTTTTCTCAAAACACATTCAATTTCCAAAAGTGAACAAACCTGCAGTAATAGCAATTGTTTAATTTCATTCCATTGTCTATTATTAAAGCAGGCATGTCGATCTTCTTTATCAATGCAGAAAAGTCCTCCATAAACACTTGCAATTGCTGATAAAGCATCAACGTAATGAAAGTCAAGGGTCAAGAGCCCAACTAAAGCAAATACTGATCTCCATGATAGTGACCTCAAACGAAACATTTTCAATAACACTTCAACATCTGTTAATTCTCAATAAGATCTTATGTATACGTGTGACAAAGTCAGTCTGATTAGTAATAAGTGAAGCTGGTAATGCTGTTTGTGGAGTTGTTTAACCACATCTTGAGAGAGTTCATGTCTTGTATCTCCAGTTCATCTAAGGCCGTTTCTGAACAAAGTTGTAGTTTGTGTTCTTATTACTCTTTTAAAAGATGATTGAAAGAATGTTTCAGGAACATCACAATAACCTTTAAATAACATTCAGGAAACTGGAAACTTGAATTTTAAATCAAAATTAAGTTGAAAGAACGTTTGAGGAACATTATACCTTTAAGAACACGTTCCTCGAACGTCAAGAAAACTGGACATTTTTCACGTTCTCAGAACCAACACTGAATATTTAGAGAACGTTCTTATAACAAAAATCTGTTAGCTGGGTTGGTGAAAGAAATAGTTTTAGTTAAATCTATTCTGAATGGCAAACAATTACTTTGTCTCTATTTTGCACACATTCCCACATTTAATTGGTGTCTGATTACAGCAATAAACCCTTAATTCACTTAAAGCTGCATAATCTCGAGTGATTAAGTGTGATGATCATCTGCTAAATGAGCAACAACGACCACAATTCACTCCTTCAGTCAGTGAAGCTCCCACAGCCGTTCATGAGAGTTTAAATGCTGGAGAATATTCCCATCTTCCCACAGGAGAAGAAGAAGCAAGCAGGAGGAATTACTCCAGGAGAAACTACGGACATACTATTGTAAAGATGGAGATTAAGGAAGAACCCTGCAGAATAAAAGATGAAGATACAGAGGAACAAATAGGTTGGTGTTTTCCTTCATTCTCTTTAATGACTGATGAGGAACATTAAGATGAAAACTGACATATAAAAATAACATATAAATCTAGATACTAGTAGACTCATTCCATTTGTTTTTATTTTAGACCTGATGGAAGTGAATAAAGACAAACAGCATCAGTTTCAAAAACTGCATTATTTCACAAATGAAGATGGAAATGCAGTCGTTTCAAAGACTGAAAAAAGTTTCAAACAAGCTGAAAAATCTGGAGTCGAAGGATCTTTAACCTGTTCTGAGTGTGGAAAGAGTTTCATATCTAAATCAAAGCTGAACTCACACATGATGATTCACACTGGAGAAAAGCCTTATACATGCACTCAGTGTGGAAAGACTTTCATACTTATAGGAAACCTAAATGTGCACATGAGAATTCACACTGGAGAAAAACCGTTCAAATGCTCTCAGTGTGGAAAGAGTTTCACTCAGAAAAGTCATCTCAACACTCATCTGCGCAGTCACTCTGGATTGAGATCATTCAGCTGTGATCAGTGTGATAAAACATTTGTTTTTGAATCAGGCTTAAAAACACACCTTAAAACTCATACTGGTGTGAAGCCTCACGTTTGTTTTTTTTGTGGAAAGAGATTTTCAGAAGTGCAACAGTTAAAAGAGCATGAGCGTATTCATACTGGTGTGAGACCTTATGTGTGCTTTGACTGTGGAAAGAGCTTTATTATATCCAGCCACTTAAAATCACACCAGAGAATTCACACTGGAGAGAAACCGTACAAGTGTTCACACTGTGGAAAGAGTTTCTCTCAGTCAGGAAGCCTGAAAAATCATGAGAGAGTTCATACTGGAAAGAAGCCTATTGACTAATCTACAACGACATAAGAAAAAGCTTTGTCTGAAAGTGTCTAAGTGAGCAATGTTCAGATCCATGACTTGATTTGATATTCAGATTAAGCAAAAAATGGAATTACCTCAAATATAGTAATTTAATCTAAAATTAGGAGGAAGGTTAAAATGTTTTTTTTTATCGCATTGTAAGTGTTGCATGTTTTGTTCTTCCGACACCTGTATTGATCCTCTGTTGTGTTGCACATGTGCAGTAAACACTGAGTGTTACTGTATACAAGATGAACTGAACAGTAAAGCAACAATGTGAAAATACTCGTGTCAGTGTCATCGCTCAAGCAGTGCATGGTCATCTCATACAGATACAATTATATTTCAGAAAACTAGTGTGTTGCCATCAAATGTATGAAGGGATGTGTTTTGTTTCTTTGAGGAGTTTATTTTATTGCACATATGAGGCACGTGTAAAACAATGTTAACAATAGTCTATCAAATATCATTCATATCACAAACAGCTTTGTGGCGAGCAGGCCGAGGGCAGTGGGAGAATGGCTCCAGGCCGGTGGCGTGATTGCTGATGAGCGACACCTGCGCGCACCGGTCTTGTATCTCTCACGGAGGAGCTGAAGCATAACAGGAGCAACAACGGTGAAGGACGAGAGAGGCCAGGGGTCTGTCTGTTTCAATAAGGAGGTTCAACCAACTCTGAGTTAAAACTTGAACTCTGAGTTGATTTACCCTGAGATGGTAAACTCTGAGTTTTCGGTTTCAGAACAGCTGAATTGAGTTAGTTCAATCAACTCAGAGTAGGTTGACTACTCCATGACTATGAAAAGCCATGATTAATGGAGCTCCGAAATTACGATTCACCATGGCAGCAGCACCCGACAAAAAGACGTCCACATACTTCCAAGTCAATACACAAGTATGATTCTTAATCACTGTTATATTATCCGGGGAAAAATGACAGAAAGATAAGTTATTCAACTAATACTTATTTTCATGGTATCCCACAGACAAAAAAAGTCAAAAAAGAATTCATAATTCAATCAGTTAAATCTTTACGCATAAAAGGTCTTTGGATGTAGGTTACATGACTTTACAAACATTTGACATATTATAATAAATATAATTCAGTGTTTATTTCAATGTGCAGCAGCTGTATCCACATGGTACAATACTCTTTTAAACGATAAAATAGTGACCAATTTTATCGTAAAAAAATCTCAAAAAGTCTTGGTGAACAAACAGCTGAGGACTCTGCTAAATAAATATTGCCATTTGGATTAAAAACAGTCCTGGGGCCCGTTCTTCGTACGTTGCTTAAAACATCCAAAATCAAACGAGACATCCAAGATAATATCATCGTGCTCATCATGATCCGGCTAATTAGGTTCTTCGAACACTCCTGCCGGTTATGATTAGTATAGCTGGATTGGGTTATCTGAGATAATTGCGCGTTCATGCGCTGGGTTAAAAGGGGATATGTATCGATAGTAGAAACATTGATCAGCAACGCTGCTATTGGCTGCTCACCGTGGCCAAAGAGCGCGCTCAGTTTTTTTCTCCACAGAAGAGCAAGAGTTATTGCTTGAAGGATATGCAGAATTTGAAAACTTAATTAAAACGCCAGGGAACACCTCAAAGTGTGCAAAAGCCAAGAGAGAGGGCTGGCAAAACGTAGCAGACAAATTAAGTTTGTAGTTAGATGTTTTCATCACTTATTACAGTATATATTTTTATATTTTAATAATTTCTAAATAATTAATAACTTTGTTAATTGTAATGTTAGAGTCACCACCCACTAGAACATGGGAACAAGTAAAAGTGAAGTACTAGAATATTCTACATAATAGTAATTTGTACTAACTAATCTCTTTTAAAAAGGCACTGTTAATAAATGTTTGCCTGTTTATAAAAGCAACCAAGAAAAAGGCTGAGAAAAAAAAAGAAAAGAAAAACAAACAGGTGGTGGTCCTGCACCCCCACATTATACCCAGGCAGAAGAGCTGACCCTTGGGTTGAGTGTGAACCTTGTGGAGGGCATCCCTGGGTTCAGCTCTTCCTCAGACCCACAGCCAGAGGCCAGGAGCAGAACACCTTCACTGCTGGTAAATGAACTTTAAATGATCCTACACTGTAAAATAATTTGTTGCTGCATTAAATTAAGTAGGCCTATAATCCAAATGGCTGTCCAGTCATATCAGCTGTTAAACCTTGAGTAGCAATGAATTGCTTTGACTTGTGAAAGTCTACATGAGTGTCTGTGAAACTACATAGTTAATGTAAAAAAAAAATATGTTGCCTTGAGTTATTGATCACATTTCCCCCCAGTGTACTTCATTGTAATGAAATTGTGTTTTCCTCTTTTGTGCAGTATTAAACAAAACCAACACTTTTATGTGTTCCCAAGCAAGTGGCTGAAGCATGTGCAGTAAGTGGACTTTTTCTAATGTTACATCAAAAGGGAAGAAAGTAGATAAACACTGTAATGGCCATTTTTTCCCCCAATGCACAGGACAGTGAAGAAACCCTCTCAGATATCTTAAAGTGCATAAATAACTTTACTTAATTTACACTTGAGTACCTATTATTTCTAATATCAGTTGCAGGAGCCCACATCTACAGAAGAGCAGTGATGCAGAGGTGGGCAGTGTTGTACTTTTCCTTTTAATTTTTGATGCATGAGCCATGTGTTTGACAGGTGTACCCCTACCCCTAGAAAACAGAGTATTTTGAAAAAACTTGGCAACTTAAAAAAAAAAAAAACTGGCACTAGAGATAGAGTTGCTTCATAGGAACTTCAGAGTAAGTGCTAATATATTATTTCACACAGAGTACAATATATATTATTTGCAGGCAAAAGATGACTTGATCACTGGCTTTTCTTTACAAAGAACAATTAAAATAAAAATCAAGGAACTAAGCATATTTGTCTTGTCTTTTATGAAACATTTAATGAAATGTTTTATATTTTTTCTGATGGTGCAATGTTGTGTAATATGGCCCATGTCACAGGCCCTGTCAGGTGCAACCCTCAGACTTTTCAGACACTTTAGTTGGCTAAAGTTCACTTCATGTGTGCCCTTGTCCTGGCTAGAGCTGCATTGCAACTGGTCTGGGGTTTGGGTCAGGGAACGGGGTCATAAAACACCTGTCTCCAAGCAGGATCCTGTTGTAATCACCTGTTTAATGGAAAAATTCAGTTCTGTTAGGATAAGCATGTATGTAATACAGTGAGCTTGATATTTATATTTTTCCTTACCATGTTCAAATAATGTGCATAAATCTCTGAAAATTCTTGAGTCATGCACAGATCCTGGCCATATTTGTGATATGGAACTAGTCACACACCATCTAAGAGATTTTAGTCAGTCAACTGCCTTTTTAAAATTTGATATAATACTAATCTGAGATTCACGAGTTTACATGTTAATGAAATCTGATGTAATATTATAATGCGTATTTGGCTTGCTGTCCGGGGGGAGGGCTCCGAGCTCAGAATTCGGAAACCTTAGAGATCATAGGTAACTATGAGCGGACCCAGCCGAATGTGGGGTGAAGGGGTGGTGGTGGGATGCTGAGAAATTAGTCATGAGACAGGAGGTAAGGGAAGGCTTTATTTATACTGGCTTCTTCTTGCGCTGATTGGATGATTACCTGAACATGCTCCTCCCGAACTTTGTTTACATAAAACTTCATTTCACGAGTTTACATGTTAATGAAATCTGATGTAATATTATAATGCGTATTTGGCTTGCTGTCCGGGGGGAGGGCTCCGAGCTCAGAATTCGGCCCGACCCCAGAGTACTCCCCAAAATGCCAGATAAACGGAGGACAGCGAGCGTAGAATTTAACCCCCCAAAAAGTGAAGGGTATGTATTTACCAAGGAACGAGCTTGCCAGTTCGACTGGGAAGGCTCTCGCAACGACCGACGGGAACTTGGATGCTCACGGCATCGGACGGATAAGCCCATTCTGCAGTTGAACTGACAGCTCGCTGACGCAAGAATTATGCGAGCGTGAATTTGTGGACGAGTTTAACCGTTCACCCGGGAGGGCTCTCGCAGCGTCCGACGGGAACTTATATGCTCACGGCATCGGACTGTTAAGCCTCGCCAGGTTGGACGGAGGGCGCCCGCTGGACTCGGTCGGGAGGGCTCGACCGGCGCTTCGAAGGGGGGCTGGGGCACGGGAAAGACCCCTCACATCCCGACGAATGGGGAGCCCGCCTGGCGACACGAGCGCGGTCGTCGGGCGACGACTAAGACGGGCAGACTCTCACTGCGATTCGAACGGGAGGGTTCAACCAGCGTTTTGGAAGGGGGACGGAACCCGGCCTTCGAACGGGTGAGTCATCGCTGCGTGCGAACGGGGGAGTCTGCATATGATTGAAAAACGTACACTATGAATATTAAGCGAGTGTGCAAGCGGCGAGCCCAGATGTAATCGGAAGGTTTGGTGTAAAACGGATGTAACTGAAATGTGGCAGCAGGTGATAATTATAATTAATTAGTTAGGGCTTGGTGAGCATTTCTGATGAAAAACCGGCTAGACCTAATATAGGTTTTGAAGGCATTCGATGACCAGCGACCGAGGGTTTTGATTTGTTGTTGGGAGAGACCTTTTTTAGCGGCTGTGGTAGCTGCTCCGATGCGGAATGAGTGGCTAGAGAAATGCTCTGCTGAGACGCCGTATTTGATGAGGACTGCTTTAAGATGCTTTTGGAACCAGAATCTCGTCGCTGGATGATTGGAGTCGTTAGTGAAAAGAGGGTCGAGTGGGGATTTGGACGAGGAAAGTTTATGCTGCAGGTAATTAAAAAGTGCATGGTACGGTTGGATGGGAGTTTGTAGATTGAAAATATAAACGAAGTGACCTCTTTTATCTCTGTCCGTTTTGCTTTGTTTAATGAAAAATGATATGGTTTCATTATCTACTGTAAGGGGTGTACAGTCAAAGACCCAGAACCAGATATGAAGAATGAAGACCCGGAGTCAGAATTATAAAAAATTAAAGAA